AAGGATTATATTATGTAAAATTATAATTGTGTTGTTTTGTCGAGTGTGATAAAAGTTGTAGTTCATCAAAGATTTGTCTTCATTGGGAAATCTGATAGAACAGCAACTCTACAGCATTCAAGAAAAGTGGTAATGTTGGATGGTCATTGCACTCATTTTGAAGCTAACCCAATGTAGGTGGATGTCATCACCAAGAGCCAGATATTTAGCAAGGGAACACTGGGAACACTGACTTGACCATGAAAGTTAATGTTCTGTGTAGTTCTGTAGCTCAGTGGTTAGAGCACTTGCCTCACAAGCGAGAGACCTGGGTTCAATTCCCGGCAGGGTGAAACTTTGGGCAAGTTTCCTTACTCCACACACCTGATAATAATCCCTCAAGAAAAAAAACAATAATAAATTGATCATTTCAACCCATGACTGATTGTGGGACACTGTTGTGCGCAAGTGGCTGTTGTGTTTCACCCACAAATATACAGTCAATTCACTTTACAGTATATTCTGTGAAGCACTTTGAGACATCTAGAAGACATGAAAAGCGCTATATCAAATGCAAGGATTATTATTATTAAAGAATGGGAGGAGACCAACTGGAGGAGAAATAGTGATGGTGGTGAGACTGCTAGGAGTGAAATCATTAAAGGACGGTGCTGAGGAAATAGGCATTGAAGGATGGGTGTTGGATTTGAACAACAAACCAAAAGTGTGTTTCCTCCTTGCCCAGCAAATCCACATTTTTACAATGCAATCACACCAAGGGCTTCTTTTGGAGACTGTTTTTCCCTTGGATTGTTAATGAAGTGTTACGTGCAGCAGATGGCTTAAGCAAAATATAATAATTGCACTGAACATATTTTATTAGGAATCTACATGTACTCCGATTTTTAAAAATATCCTCATACATTAAGCTAATCTTGAATTCTTTACAAACTTTCACCATATTTGACTTTCAGTTAAACAACAAAGATCCCTTTCAATACATTGGTGTGCCACAAAATCTGACTCATTACAGCAATACAAACTGACATTATTCCACTTTATAATTGGTACTGTTTTTGCAATAATTTCAATGTTCCCCCAGAAAATTACCCTAGGTTCTTACGTACTGATTTCTGGCATAACAACTGAGGTACCTGAAAGTGTAAGCTATAGAATAAGAACAGTGTTACATGGCTACAATCTTTATTATACAGGATGGAATCTGAATCTTTTACATTATATAATTAAATGCATCATATACTGTGCCACTCTTTCTTAACTAAATAGCTCCAGTATGAATCGTTTGGGGTTTCCTGTGAAATAGTTTGAGCTGCGCTCCTGGAGTTGCTGCTAAAATTAGATAATTATTCCTTTTAAAACTTGCAATGAGTGTATTTTTGTGTATCCGGGTGATTTATGCTAGTACATGTCCTCCACTGAGTAAACAGTTCAGATCTAGTTCAGCCAGAAAAGTGTGGTTTACATAGCCAATGGGTGTACTGTAAATATTCTAAACCCTGCAAATGAGTAAACAAAGCCAGCATGCACTCAAAGGGTGGTAGAAATCTGGAACTCTCTCCCCCAAAAGATCGTGGATGCTGGATCCATCCACACCTTCAAGAAAGAGATTGACAGATTTTTGGTAGAGTATTAATGGATATGGGAAGAAAGCAGGAAATTGGAATTGAAATTCTAGTAAAGATATAGATCAGCCATGATCTGATTAAATGACGGAACAGGCTTGACGGGATGAATGGCCTACTCCTGTTCTTATGTTCCTATGCTGATAAACCGGTTGCGATATTTAGTTAGCAGTGAAATACTTATGACACACCACAGATCTTGGGAAAGTCCTAGAAGTCTAAACTATCTGCTCCTCATCTGGACAATATAAGTGACGGACTTTGCTTTGATCTTGGACTTACTTTGTATTTTCTTGGTTTGTTGTTTTGGTTTGTGTTTAAGACTGGATTACTGAGTTAATCTGTATGGATGCAGTGAGGTGTTGCGAGTTTGTAAATTGTGTCAAAAATGTTTCATATCAGTCAAGAGTATCCACTGTACCACAGTGGTGGGTATTTGTTTATTTTGGTCAGCTGGATGTCTGACACATGTGGATATCCAGCATCATGCTTAAGGGTATCCAAACCAAATTGAGATTTCCATGCGTCCCACCTACACATGGAAATCCCAGAGACAGATTGTTTGAATGGAATGTGCTCTCTCCCTGGAGGTACACTTCCTGCTTACCTAATTCCGGAAAATATTAGGCCCAAGTTGGCAAGAGCCAAGACTTGGGGACTCCAAAGATACCGTTAGAGTTTGACCGGCTAAAACCACATAGTTTTCCATTGATATCATTGCCTAGCAAGGTTTCCCACTCCTTGTCCAGCTAGGACCGTTCTACCAGTTAAGGCTTTGGCTTACAGGGTTAAGAGGAGCTGAGAGGGGCCTGTCCTCAGTGACTGGTCTGCCCTTCCAAGTCCTGCCAATGAACCAGGCTGGCTGTGGTGTCCTCAGCAGTGCCTTGGTGTTGAAGGCTGGTGACTGACTCAGTGTCAAAGAGGTAAGAGTGAGAGTGTGCTGGAAGTGTGATGGAAGTGAGGCATGAAAAAGACCAAGTGAGTCTCAGACGATTTGCAACACAGACATAGGCAAAGCCTCACAGTGAAAAACTGATAAGAGAAACAAAGTGACAGACACAAAGATAAAATGAGACTCATAGCAAGCAAACCCACAGGGAGGTGGGATAGCTGTAGATAGGGGATGGAGACAAGAGGTAAGGGAGAGAAAAAGGCAAACAGGAGTCAATGACTAATTAGCAAACAGAATATACTTACACTTGCTGCCAACAACTCACTTCTACAGAACTTCACATCTGAGCCCTGTTCCCCATTTCCTGTCTTGGGATGAGACAGTTTACTCGTTTCTAAAAACACTAGTTTAAATTGCCTATAGTAGTGTTTACTAATGTCATAAATATTGAAACAAAAAATCAGTATGCTGTATTTACCCTGGGAACAGACTGTGGTTTGGGAGAGGAAGCTAGCTTTCACAACTTTTAATTGTCTACTGACACCAAATGTGCAGAAGTAAAACCCCTTTCTAACCGGTTACTACAACTGGTAACGCTGAACATTCTAAGAGTTGGTGAAACAAAAGAATGTTAGGATTATTAAACTTATTTCCTGAATAATCAGTTTGAAAAATATATAATTATTTTAGATAATTTCTCATTACTGTATTATCTATATGGGTCTTGATTGGCACAGAGTTTGCAAACGCTGTATGTTGAAACTTGACTGAAGAATGTTGAGCTTGAACAAATATTTCCTCAAGACACAACCAATCATCTCACTCAGCTCATGATGCCAATGTTCCCTGCTATTGCTTCCTGAATGGGAACTAACTTTTGATGTTGCAAAGGACTTAAAAATTAAAGTAGCAGCTCAAAAAACAGCTAAAATTGGGGTCAAACCATGATAATGACGATGGTTACAATCTCTGCTCAGTTTTGAGGCTGGTCAATTTTGTACCGAAAATAGTAGACCAACTGAAGGACAATATCACATCCAAGTTACTGCACATATTGTAGTCTTGTCTTCACCCAGATTGGTCGATTGAGTTAAGCAGAAGCAGTTGACACCCCAACAGCACCAATTCTCATCTGAAAAAATCCCCTTAAGAGAATAAGGATCTATCTCAGGGAACATCAACCAAAAGAGAACATGTTGCAACAGTGAGTCACGCTAACAGAATGCAACTTCATACATCGAGAAGAAAACATTTAATAGTTTTAATAACTGAGCTTGGCTGATGCATAGAATGAATTTTTTTTAAATATAAAATCTGTATAAATAGATTTCAGGCTACGTCAAAACACTCTGAGGGAAAGTGGTAGTTTGCAGTCTGTGTTTCAGATCATTGTAATGTAATTTTAGATCCAAGGTGCTTTTCCTGGTGGCCTAGCTCTAATAATAGTATTTTCCTGAGAAATTTTGTTGACCCCATATAAATGCAAATGTGTTATGGGGGTGGCGTTGGGGGTGTACTGTGTTGATGGAGGTGCTGTTCTTCGGATGAGATGTTAAACTAAGATCGTGTTTTTAAACCTTTCCGCCCAATGCAAAGAATTATGCAGAATTATCTAAATGTTGCGCAAGGCATCAAAATATAAATGGTTTATTTGCAAACTGTCTGTTCCCCCCAAAAAATAATTATTAAAGACCACAGCAGGCTCGTTGGATGTTTTGGCATCAGCATCCCACAGGGGCTCCTGTTCTGCCACCTACCATCCCGACATGTTTGTAGCCCAAAGCCTACAACTCGCCCAATATTATGGGTGGTGTGGAGCCTTGTAGTGCAGCGGTAAGAACACTCGCCTGGCAAGCGAGAGACCTGGGATCAATTCCTGGCAGGGCCCAACTGTGGGCAAGTTTCCTTACCCCACACACACGCTTAGATTTACTCTGCAGTAAGTAGGAACCTGGTTGTCAGTCGATTGGCAGATCAATTTTTCGGGGGGAATACTTCATCAAAAATAATTTTAAATAATTGGTCGCTTCAATCTATGACTATTTGTAGGTCACTGCTGTTGCAATTGGCTGCCGCGTTTTGGCCACTAAATATACGGTCAATTCACTTTACAGCACACTTTACAGTGAAGCGCTTCGAGACGCGATCAGGTGGTATATCAAATGGAAGGATTATTATTGTTATTATATGTCATTATTGTCGCCTCCTCTGGGTACCGGATGCCCAATTCAGGTTTAGTGCTTTTAAACCTGTCTTCAAAGAGAGTTTTAAAAACAAACAACCTTTTGCAGATTTAAATGACATTTTTTTAAAAAAAAATTTGACACCCGCCCGAAGTGGATTTTTTCACGCAGTGAAATAATGAAAACCCGCCCAATTGGGCGTGAACCCGCCCCAATCTGCTCACATTGGCGGTGATGCTTCTGCTGGAGCACGTGACATTCGCTGCTCTTGCTGCGCGCGGCGGCGGCCGGAAGTGTAAGGAAGCGCGCGCGTGGGCGGACGGGGTGGCGGTTGGTGTTTGAAGCGCTGCGCGAGCGAGAGAGAGAGAGGGAGAGAGAGTCGCGAGGGGAGGATGAACAGCCGTTTACAGGAGATCAGAGAGAGGCAGAAGCTGCGGCGTCAGCTGCTGGCACAGCAGGTCAGGAGGGGAGGGGCGGGGAGAGGGACACGCCGCCGAGGGTGGGGACACTGTTGGCCACCGCGGGGTTGACTGGGCGGCGGCGGCTGCCGGGGGAGAGGAAGCGGCCTAGGCCTCAGCACACAACACAGTGCTGGAGCGGAGAGGCCGCGCTTTTCACCTACTAAATTAACACAGAAACACAGATGGAATAACCAGAATGCTAATCGTTTATCAAATTCAATGAAACAGTTAAGGGGGTGGGTGGGTGAGCAGGTGGGTGGGTGAGCAGGTGGGTGGGTGGGTGAGGGGTTCAGGGGGTGAGGTGTAGCCTGGTCTCAGGGCATGACTGGGTGTCTTGACACATGCGAGACCCATCACTATACTGAAACCGGACCGTTTGCGAAGGATATCGCTGTCTGGAAAGCTTTCCCGCTGCTCGTCCAGCAATGACTGCGAGCGCTCAAACCTGTAGTCCTGTAGCTCAGTGATTAGAGCCTTCAGCTCGCAAGCGAGAGACCTGGGTTCGATTCCCGGTAGGGTGAAACTTTGGGCAAGTTTCCTTACTCCACACACCTGATAATAATCCCTTAAGAAAAAAAACAATAATAAATTGGGTCACTCAGTCCACAACTGTTTGTGGGTCTCTGCTGTGTTTTGCCCACAAATGTATAGTCAATTCATTTTACAGTATATTCTGTGAAGTGCTTTGAGACATCACAAAGATGTGATGAGGCACTATATCAAATGCAAGGATTATTATTATGACCGCCAAACCTGTTAGGGCTGAAGCTTGCAGGGTTAACAGGACCTGAGCAGGATGGCTCCCAGCAACTGGTCTGCCCTTCCAGTTCAGCTCCAAGGAGACCCCACTTACCTCTCTCTTCCCTCCCCTAAGAAGGATAGTCACTAGTTGGTCATTTAACACCTGATAAGTGCATGTTGGATGGATGGCAAATACCAGGAACTCCCCATGAGCTTCCTGCTGACACATCCCTATCCATTGAGCAATCATTCCACGAGTTGAAGGTCTGTTAACACTTCCAGTTTATGATTGCCCTCTTGGATCAGTTAACACTGATCAGCAGCTACCACTCAATACCAAATTAGGTGGATTCTAAGCCCTGGATATATGAACAGGTATTCAAAATTCAGACTCCCCAAGATTTGGAGGAGCAAACCATTGAGAGCAGGGATTCTTGCCACTCAGATCTCGTTACCCTTTCAAGCCAAAGCCCTAACTGGTAGGGTGGTCCATTTTATAAAACAGAGTGAAGCTTACTAGACATTGCTTTACAGTAGCAATCTATGCTGTTTTAGCTGCTTATACTCTCAACAGTACACCATTGCAGGGGAAACCTTGGGCAAGTTTCCTTACTCCTAATAATAATCCCTCCAAAACNAAAAACAATAATAAATTGGTCATCTTCAATCTACGACTGTTTGTGGGACATTGCTGTGCGGAATTGGCTGCCGCATTCGCCCACAAATATACAGTCAATTCACTTTACAGTATATTCTGTGAAGCGCTTTGAGACGTCTAGAAGACATGAAAAGCGCTATATCAAATGCAAGGATTATTATTATTATGCTGGGTCCCCAAGTCTTGGTTGTTGACCAACCTGAGTTCCACATTCTGGCCACCCTTTGTGTGAAGGAGTTCTTCCGAAACGCCTATTAGATCTACTTCCATCTTATTTATGCCTGCTTGAACCCATCAACAAGTGGAAACAGCCTCTCAACAGCCACATTATTGAATCCTTTCATAATCTTAAACATTGTTATCAGGTTCCTTCTCAGTCGTCTCAATCCAGAGAGCAAAGTTGCAACCTGTCCAATCTTTCTTGACAGCTATCCATTCACCCCAGTGACATTCTTGTAAATCTTTGTTGTTCTTTCTCCAATGCTGCAATATTTTTCCTTTACTATGTGACTTGAACTGTACAGAGTAATCCAAATGTGGTTAACTCAGGGTTGATATAAATTTAACATTATTTCCCTACTTTTATACTCTTCCTCTGGATATTAAACTAATTAATCAATGAAGTACTGTGTTATCCCTAAATTATTGTATTGCAAATGAACAATTTTAGGACTGTAATTGCATAATATGATAAAATAAATGATTGGTGGTACTGAATATTTCTCTAATTCTATTTCATAAGGTAGTTTTAATCAATCGAATCCTTTTATAAATCTCCAGTGAGCCAGCAATACTCAAAATGTCAAAGTAACAAGTAAAAGATACTGCATGTTAGAATCCTTGATGCAGTTTTATTTCTGTTATTTGGCTTTCATAACTGCAGTGAAAATCATACTGAATACTCCAGTGAGTTCCTTATTTTATTATTTACATTTTGTTTTTAATAAAATACTATATTTTGATAAACACAAGGTTAAACAATTCAAGGTATATCTACACTGATACATAAATACACTGAATGAGAAGGAGGAATATTGCATTTGAAATAGAAATGTGTTTTTTAATGGCTAACAATTCTTTGTTAAACTTAAGAGAATTAAAGTGTAAGCTAAACTCATTTACAATTTATATGGTTACAAAAGTTCCCTTTTCACTGTATTTCTGCCAAATAGTTCTTAATTGATTCTATGTCTACTTGTTTCCACTACACTGCCCTACATTGCCTCACTAATGCCTCTCATAGAGTGCCTTGAAGTGTGAAGATGTCATTTATGGGTGTCGTGAGAAACTGGAACCAGCAGCAGTTGTATCTTTCTACCACTAGTCAAGTTGATTATCCTGCTATTGTATGGTTAATCTGTAACTAATTAAAAATAACATGCTGTTGGCCAAAGTTTTACAAAATGGGTTGTTCAACTTGTGCTGCAGGTTTCTACTTATTTGATCTCGGGAATAAAAGGGAAAGGAATTCATTAACCCACCAGTGTAGTTTTAAATTCTGCATTTATATATTTTTATAAATTCATTTCAAAATTGTCTGTGCAGCTTTGTGTAATTGATGCAGAAACTTTAAAGTTTTACTAAAATCTATGTTTCTGTTTCTTAGCTGGGAGCTGAAAGTGCTGATAGTATTGGGGCAGTCCTGAACAGCAAAGAAGAACAGAGAGAGATTGCTGAAACCAGAGAAACGTGCAGGTTGGTGGGAAGGCAGCTAGCTGCTTTTTATTCTTTCAATTTGTAAAATATAATTTTCTCTATAGAGTATAAAATAAATTCCAAATAATATAATGGATTTGTAACTGGTTTAGGAATACTTTCCGCATGTCACAACATTTAGAAGGCAATTCTAACCAGTATTGAATTGCATTTTAAATGCATTATAGTTAAATAACAAAATATAACTGTTGAAAGATAATGTTTACAACTCAACAGCATCCACTTATGAGGAGTCAGCATGACTCAGTTGCTAAAACTCACCTCGGGTGAGGCAGAAGAGTTATTGATTCAAAGTGCAAACAGAGCCTTGACACTCCAGAGTAGTACAGAGGGAGTCTGCTCTACAGATGAGATGGTAAACTGAGTTCCTGTCTGCCTTTTCAGATGGACATTAAAGATCCCATGGCAGTATACAAAAACAGTGTCCTGGCCAACAATCCCCCAGATAACATTGGTTATTCAGTTCATTGCTGTTTGTGGGACATTTGAGTGCTATGCAGAATTTTGTTCCACCATGATCCGGCATCTTACAATGAACTAAATTAACCTTATGAGTTCAGATTTATAAAATTAAGGAAATTTTTTGCCGTATGTCACAACATTTAGAAGCTTTGGTTTGTATCTTCAATGTACTCAAATCCTGGCTTGCATATACAAAACTCCAGTCTGGTGAGCTGGAATAGATTTTTTTAAAACCAACAAGTCTCAAAGGCAGCCTATTTTTGTCTTATTTATTGTGCAGTGATGTTTCTTGTGCTTTCCCTATCCTATCTAATGTATATTTTAAAGGTTATCCTGACTTACCAACTTACCATGCATGTTTATCTAACTGTTCTTCAGTAATTACCTAAGGGTCTCCAACCTAACTGTGCAGTTAAGCACATAGTCTGCTCTTCCAAGTATGGATCAGCTGTTTATGACTTCTATAAAGGTTAATAATCATTTAATAATAACTTAATTCTTGCATTTGATAATAATTCTTGCATTTGATATAGCACCTCATCGTGTAGTCAACGTCTGATAGTGCTGCACAGGGTTTATTGTAGAGTGTAGTGACTGTATTAGAAGTGTGTTAGCCAGTTTGCCCACAACAATATTCCGCAAACAGCCATGAAGTGAATGACCAATTTTATCTGGGGTTTGATGGCCAGAACATCTAAGATATTGTATTTGAATCCAGTATCTTGGGCCACTAATAAATAATAGATACCGTCATCGGAGTGCCTTCAAAGTTAAGACTCGATTCAACAATTTGCCTAATTCTGGATACTGAAGTGCTACATAAATAGAGTAAGTTTAGATCCAGGATTTCTGCCCGCAAGATATTTTTAGTTAAAACATTTTCTCCATTCTGATAGCATGGCTCCATTTTGGTATGCAGTGGCCTCCAGCAATTGTTTCTGTTCATTTGTTTGGTATTTTGTTGATTCACAGAATCTCCAAGCAATGTCTTTAGAAGATTGCTTTTACAGACATTTAGAAGTCAGATCAAGTTTCTTGCTTTGTTTCTGTAAGTGTAGTTGGATGATTTTGCACAAATGTGTACAATTTCTTTTTTGTTATTACGGATACCGCCACTGAAATTAAACAAAATTATTACAGTAGATAGGATTGTCTGTGTGTATTTGTGTTGTTTTTGGTTTGTCAACTTTGTACAACATATTTAAATGTCACGATATGTATGAAAGAGTACCGGCCTGCTTCATGCCCCTCACCCTACCCACCCCACCATCTTTCGGCTCACCAGGCTTTCAGCCATTCTTCCACCGCTCTCTGGAATTTCCTCTCTTGTCCTTCAAGGCACGTTTCAAAACATACTTTTTTTTACCGCATTTTGATCTTTCCCCTCCCCACCCTCAGCTTGGGTACCCATCCAGCAGTATGAATGCACTTTGGGACATCCTCTTGACTTGAAAGGTACTATATAAATGTATATTGTATTAACTCACTTGCTAGTGGGTATGGTTCATCACAAAAAACACATGTAATTAACTATGATTGGCTCTAAATTGAAAGTCTCAATCAGGGAGGCAGTAAAGGCTGGGCTGTTGTACAAAATGTGAATGCTAGGATATTAATAATAATCCTTGCATTTGATAGCCTCATCACATCTTCGATATGTCTCAAAGCCCTCCACTGTTCTTCCCCCTACCTCTCCGACCTCCTAACCCAGGGTGAAACCTTGGACAAGTTTCCTTACTCCACATGCCTATTAATAATCCCTCAAGAAAAAAAATTAATAAAATTGGTCATTTTCAATCCACGACTGTTTGTGGGACACTGCTGTGCACGATTGGCTGCCGCATTTCGCCCACAAATATACAGTCAATTCACTTCACAGTATATTCTATGAAGTGCTTTGAGATGTCTAGAAGATGTGAAAAGCTCTATATCAAATGCAAGGATTATTATTATTATAACCCCATATTAGCCTGTCCACTCCCTCTGCTCAGCAGACACCAACCTGCTTCAGGCCTCTCGCACTTCCCACCCCACCATTGGTGGTTGGGCATTCAGTATCTCTGCCCCCACACTCTGGAACTCCATCCTGCAATCTGTCTCCTCACTCCTTCGCTTTTCTCCTTCAAGTCCCATCTAAAGACCTTCCTCTTTGGCCAACCTCCCTGCCGCCCACCCATCCTGACCCCAATTACCAGCTCGGGTCCAAACACCCTGACTGCAGTGCCTTGGGACGTCTTTCCGATGTGAAGGGTGCTAAACAAGTGTAATTTGTTGTTTCTGTGTAATCATCCATAATATCAAATGTGACAATTCTAATTATTATATCATAAGACCACAAGATGTAGGAGCAGGAGTAGGCCATTCTGCCCCTCGAGCCTGCCCCGCCATTTAATAAGATCATGGCTGATCTTCTAACCTAATTCCATTTACCCGCCGTATCCCCATATCCCTTAATCCCTCTTTTAGAAATCTACCAACCTCAGTGTTGAATATGTTGAAGGACTGAGCATCCACAGCTTTTGGAGTAGAGAATTCAAAAAATTCCCTACCCTCTGAGTGAAGAAATGTTTCCTCAACTCAGTTTGAAAAAGCTGACCCTTAATGTTGTGACTATGACCCCTAGTTGTAGATTCTCTAACCAGGGGAAACAGTCTCACGACATCTATACCCTGTCAAGACCCTTAAGAATCTTATAGGTTTCTATAAGATCGCCTCTAATTCTTCTATATTCTAAAGAATATAGGCCTAGTTTACTCATCCTATCCTCATAGGTCAACCCCTCGTCCCAGGAACCAACCTCGTAAATCTACGCTGCAAGTATGTCCTTTCTTAAATAAGGAGACCAAAACTGCACACAATATTCACAATATCACTTGCTTTTAGAGCGTTTTTTTTTGCAACAGCACATTTTATGTTGCTACAAATAGTTTCAGCAATTAAAAAAAAATGTGGACTTAGACTGCTTTTTTGATAAAAGGAGTGAACACCAACTTCTGTTCAGAACTGAAAAATAAACATGTAATTTGCTGCATCTTTTAAAATGCTAATTCATGAAGAAGCACAATAACAGTCAGTTATTTATTGACATTAAAAATGTAATGGCATTTTAATGTCAGTAAGCTTTTGGACCTTGCACACCTAGTTCTGCTTTGCACCAATTTGAAAGAGATTATGTTATTATCCATTGTTGCCAATTTACAGTATTTTCAAAATCACACCAGTCTAAAACCAATAGATAATAATAATCCTTGCATTTGATATAGAGCCTTATCACTTCTTCGAGACATCTCCAAGCGCTTCACAGAATATACTATAAAGTGAATTGACTGTATATTTTGTGGGTGAAACACAGCAGGCAATTGTACACAGCAGTGTCCCACAAACAGTCGTGGATTGAGTGACCAAATTATTTTAAATTATTTTGAAGGAATTATTACCCCCGGAAAAGTAATCCGCCAATCGATTAACAACCAGGTTCCTACTTACTGTTAGGTAAGCAGAGGCGTGCGTGTGGAGTAAGGAAACTTGCCCAACGTTTTGCCTTGCTGGGAATCAAACCAAGGTACTCTCGCTTGCGCATCGAGTGCTCTAACCACTAAGCTACAGGACACCATAACTTTGAATTTACTTTGGGATGTCTTTCAGAAGTGAAAGGCGCTGTATAATTGTAATGTTGAGTACCCATGCCTTCTATTTTTACTTCCCATATACAATACCTTGCAATTATCTATATTAAATTGTATTTGCCAGTCATGAATCCATGCGCATATCCTATTATGTCTTACCCGTGATCCACAATGATATCAGTTTGTGAAGTCTTCCATGTGGTATGAAGATGAATAATACTCTGGGGTGATATCCACATGGCACAAAGTGTATCGCACTTTGACAATGGAGCTTAATTTATATTAATATGATATAGTAATGCATAACAACCAATTTGTACACAGCAATTTCCTACAAGTAGTAGGAATGTCAATTATATGCATGTAAAAATCATATCATAGAAGCTACATTTTTTGGATACAGCATTTTTTTCTCCTCTATTGTTATAGTCCTCGAGGATGAAAATTACAATAAACTTTGCTTCAATAATTTGCATTGATGGCTGATCGATGCAACTTTATTAAGTAGTGAAAGAACCTCTAATTTAGCCCAAACCAAACCATTTTAGATTTTGATAAATTTTTGTTTCCTTTTTTTGAAGGAGCAGACTGTTTTGGTGAGTATGTTTCCAAAACAAAATTCAAAACTTCCTCCAATACATTGGTGGAGAATGCAGCTTTAATATTGGAAATTCCTCTTATAGGCAGAGTGCAAAACCAGTTTGGTGATTGTTGGATGAGTAAATTCTAAATGTTACTTTTGACCACTTTCTTTCCTAGAATCATAGACATTCATAAATTTCAATCAGAATAGAACCAGAACACCTGTAATTGCAGTTCATGTCCAATTTAAAGTACTGAATCCATATTAAAGCTCCATTTGTCCCTTATAGTTTCTTTAATTTGTTGTTTCCATTTTTTATGTATGTGTTAATATTTTGCAGCCTAAAATACATAGTTGATACTGATATAGTTATGCTGAATTAATTTATAGAAAGGAGACTTCAACTATAGTGGCTAGAGCATAACTAGAAAACATCCCTTTTGGGAGGGAACATTTTGCTTATGCATTATTTTTGTCAATGCAATTTGCATGAGCATGCAAGGGAATTTTTTTTATATCTGTTTGTTTTCCAGGGATTTCCTTTTAAATTTTTTTTTACTGATTTCAGGGCAACATATGACACATCTGCACCAACTGCTAAACGCAAATTTCAAGAAGAAGGGGAGGCTGTCGAAGAAGAATTTGATGAGTATAAAGTAATTATGTATTTTTTTCCTTCCAATTCCAAGTCAACATGTGCAATTTCTTCTGTCCAGTGCACCACACATGGTAGAACCTTATGATCAGCAGATATAAAATGTTTACCTTGTGCTTTTAATCTTATGAAATTAATATAATTTAGAATTTGTTTTATGACATTTGGAATTGTGATTTCTATCAAAAACAGTTGATGAAACATATCCAATGGCAAACATCAATCAAAAGTTTATTACACTAAATTGGGTAGTTGAGTAATCTTTCTTAACCACAATTTCGTAATGAACAGAATCAGTATTTGCATCTTTTTGATGTTAATAACAGGATGTTGCAAACAGCAACTCCTGATGATAATTTTTAAAAATTGTTGTATAAATATTACACCGACTTATGGGAACTCTGCTTCAATGTAATCTACTTCCAGTTGGAATGGTTCAATTTCACAGCAGTACTAATAGTCTTCAGCGGAGTTAAGTGGATTGTGTTTGATTTGGTGTGGATTACATATCCACCAGTTTTTTCTTTCTTCCAGATATCAACATAATAATAATAATCCTTGCATTTGATATAGCGCTTTTCACGTCGGGAGGACATCCCAAAGCGCTTCACAGAACACACTGTAAAGTGAATTGACTGTATATTTGTGGGCGAACGCGGCAGCCAATTGCGCACAGCAATGTCCCACAAACAGTCGTAGATTGAAAATGACCAATTTATTATTGTTTTTGGTTTTGGAGGGATTATTATTAGGCTCTGTGTGGAGTAAGGAAACTTGCCCAAGGTTTCGCCCTGTCTGGAATTGAACTCAGGTCTCTCACTTGCAAAGCGAGTGCTCTAACCACTGAGCTAAATATAAACATAGTTTATATATAGCTAACTGCATTGTGATTTAATGGAAATAGTCAGCTGAGCCTGCATACTTTTGCTGTAGAAATATGTAAGAGTTAACTTAATGAAGCTTATTTTAATTGTGTTCCCAAGTGTTGACTCTCCTCAGCTTCTGAATTCATGTGAGTGTTTTATTTTGTTGACAGGATGAAGTGGTGGAAGAAGAAGAAGTGAATATGGCTTATAATGAGGAAATTTACAAGGATTCCAGCACATTTTTAAAGGTGAATAACTCAATCAGATTGGAATCTTTTCTATTGCACGAGACCACTGGTAACCTGCACTGTATGCATCTTGCACTGTTAATTGATGTTAAATGACTTTTTGAATTATTTCCTTTGTTCATATTCTGATTAGAAATGGTATAATAATTGGAAATTATTGTACAAAGATTTTAAATGTACTTGTAAAGGTAACCATGGAGATAAACCACCATGGTTACCATTTAAATACTGTTTATGCTGAGCAAATTGTAAATATATGTTCTTATCTGCAGCTTGACTTGCTTCACAGGCAGTATCTGGCATGTTTGCCTCACCTTTGCATTTACCCTCCAGCTTACTGCAGAGAGGCAGATCCAGTGAGATTGGAGAATCAATTCTGCAATTATTTTAAGAACTTATCCACATAAATAATTAGGTTAATGTCTTTTGTGACATTTATGTAAAGGTACAATCCATATTTTACGTCATGTTTATAAATGGTAAAATACTGAGTTAATGTTTAAAGTAGCAGTCAATGATTATGGGGCTTAGTTCTGAGCTCCAATAAATTCATGTAATGTTTTATAAAAATGAACTGTTAGCAGAATTAACTCAATCCTTCTTTGTGAGTGTTACTCAAATGCTTATTGAGTATTTAAGTGTCACCTCCATGCTACAAAATTTGAAGAGGCATAAAACATTTTCCAAGCTCAACAAAAGAGTCTAAACCCTTGATTCAACTCTATTCTGAGTACAAAGATATCCAAAACTGAACTGTATCTCTTATAAGGATGGCATGGAAAAATCAAACCATTCATGGTTCAAGCCCTTCAATTTCACTTAGCAAGGCCAAACCCACTACAGATAACATTGAATAGACAGTAAACTTACTACAACAATCAGCCATATTATTAAGACCGTTGCTCAGGAGGTTGACCCTAAAGAAGGATCAACATTCTGAGCAACAAGTTGAGATTTCATGATTTTCCATATGAAGTACAAAAGAAACTTTGGTAAGGAGGTTGAATCGTTTTTAAATAGCTATGAACAGCACCAACAAATTGAATGCTATTCCGGATATGATATGTAAAAGCAAACCTTAGAGCCGATTTTAAGGCGTCTGATGAAGGGAATCAGTATTCCTTTTGTGTTATGTGAGGATTTACCCCAGAAGTTAGCCCAAGGCTAGGTTAGCAACAGGAGATAAGCATAGGGAATCCTTCTTCCTTATAGTAATGTCATCTTACTTGCAGCCTTGTGTTTAGTAACATGAAATCTACATGGGCATTTGATCCAATAGCCCTTAAGCAGGTGGGATTTTGTCGAGTCCTATGAGAGAAACTGCAAGCCGGAAATACACTGCAAGAGCAAGTTGTGTTCTACATTTCATGACATTTTTCCTTAATTTCATGGAATTATAAATTAACATTTTGGCATTTGAATCTAGTTCAAAATAACAACGTAAGAACGATTTTGGAATATGCAATTTATATGATCCTAACATGATGCATATGAAACTGCTAACTGTTCCCCCTTTTTGGCATCTATTTTTATTATATTTTGCTAGAAACTATCAACCTTTTGAAATGGATGTGAATTGTGCTGTATTTTAGGGCAGTCGTTTTATCCCTTTGAAAACAAAACAGTAGATTTTTCAATTGTTCCAATTCTGCATATGGTTGTTGGGTGTTGCATTGTTTGAGGTTAAAATTGATTCATGTGCTTTCCTTGAGCAATCAGAAACTAACCTCCAGCTCCACAAACCTTGCTGTTCAAACAAAATAAATGTTAGGATGACCATATCTATGATGGAACTCATCATATAATAATGATAACTATTGATTATGAAAAAGTGGTTTATCACTACATTGAAACATCTCTAAGCACTTCATAGTACTTTACTATAAAGTGTAATGACTGTATTTTGAGAATAAACAAATAGCTAATTTGTATACTAATATGTATAAATTTGTATTATATACTAATTTGTATACCACATGAACAACCATGAAGTGAATAACCAATTTTATTTAGAGAATTGTTAGTCAGGATACCTGGAGAAACTCCCCTCTCTTTTCCGATAGAGTCATGGGATCTTTAACCTCCACCTGAATAGGTAGATAAGGCCTTGGTTCAACATCTCATCCATCCCCTTCGACAACACAACGCTCTTCAACACTGCACTGAAGTGTCAGCCAAGTTCTGATCTGGGGCTTGAATCTATATTCTTCTGATTGAGGCGACTGAACTACCTACTGAGCTCGGAACAGTGTTAAATGGCTGAATGGTGATTCCTGTTCTGGGGATTGGTACTTGAGGCCGGTAATCTCATTTTTCAATTGTAATTATCACCTATATACAAAAGGGCCTATCGTTGATTCTCTTCAAACAAAGTGGTGATGGAATTTTGTGAATTTAAGTGTTAAATGTAAATGTTTTATTGCTAATTTCAGCTGGTTCAAATTCAGCTGTACCCAAATGCATACTCTGGCCTTCCCCAAGCTTTTGCTCTTGCCAACCTGCACCCAATACTTATTTGGATTAGATGTGCAGATTGCATCCCTCTATGGGGAGAGAGTGAACCCTTCTTTCCAAATAAAGGCAAATTTTATGCATATGATGGACTCTCAGTAGTTTTTGGATACTAGAAAGCATGGGTTTCGTCATATAGACATCTGGCTGACCAAAAACATTTATTGCTTGTGTGGTGTACTTGTGGTCTTGATATTCCCTTCTCTGATCAGGAACAGAGTATGTGGACAGTACACCTTGTACTTTTAAATCTGTTTTTCAGTCAGTCCAAATCTAGGTTATATTTTGAAATTTACTTCCATCTTCAAAGTAGAGGATGTAAGCAGAAAAAAGAAGACATGAAATCAAAATTAAGGAAAGATGAGTCGTAAATAAGAGCTCCAATTGGATTAAGTAGAAGAAAGAATAATATTTAAAATTTTAAATCAGAAATAGGAGAGAGAATGAATGGGCAATGAAAATAGCAAGAGGCAAAATTAATGAGAAGATTGACATTCCTAACATCTATTTTTGACTGAGCTTTAGTTTGGACTTAAATTATTGAAATAACGTCCTGAAACCAAACTTTTTGATCTGTAATAACATTTCATCCTGAAATATTAGCATTCGTTTTGCTGTCAAGGTGTGTGAGGTGAAAACTTACAAAATTGAAATTTTGCTGGACTGCTGCAGCCTAAGCGTTATCTTTGCTTTTGTAAATTTTTCCCAGAATCCATCATTATTTGAAATTAATATTTCTGATTGAATCCTTGTGTTACTTGTTCGGTATTGCATTCATTTGCACTTTTTATGGGTTCTAATGCTTAGTCTATGAGAATACAGGTATAAAACAATTTTACAGGATTGCTTTCTCGCCATTTATGGGAATAACTGATTATGTACACTCTTTAAACTAACAGATGTACTCCCTTCAACTACACGCTACTGAAAATTAAATGCTACATATCTGACGCATTCCATTACCCTTATTTAAACATCACTTTATTTTGTGCCTTCGCCTTGCTTCCTCCCTTTCCTCCTTCAAGGCCGGTCTCAAGACCTTTCTCTTCGACCGTGCCTTCAGCTCCCCTCTCGACTCTCTACCCCCTTCTCTCTCCCTCCCTTCCCTCCCCTGACCATTTCCCCCCTGCTCGGGTCCCGACCCAACTGTCCAGCGCCTTGGGACGTCCTCCCGACGTGAAAGGCGCTCTGTAATGAGATCTTGTTGTTGTTGTTGTTTGCTTTCTCAACTATCTGGGAACACTGTAGCAGTAGTTTCAGTGGTCTGTTTACCAAACCCCACATTTACCAAATTTCCCTCAGCACATATTCCACACTCTCATTTCTATGCTAAATCTTATAACTAGGGTCGTCAGTGGTAAGTTGCACCTACCACCATTCTGCCCACACACACCCTCCACAACTCGCTGCCTCACTTGGCTGGCTCCGGCTTCCTGTTTGTCTATCACCTCTCTCCACCATTGGTGGCTGTGCTTTCAGTGACTACGCCCTGAAATTTTGGAATTCAATCCGTTCGCCTTGCCCCCTCCTTCCCCTTTTTCAGATCACACCTGAAGACGTTCCTTGTCAATTGTGCTTATGGTCGGATTCCGCCACTCTATTAAGCGCTCTCACGCTACCATGCGTGAAAGGCGCTACATAGATACAAGTTGTTATTGTTATTTGCATTCTTACTGAAATCCCAGATTAACATATCGATTAACATATGGTACATATCAGGTTTATTTTACTAACTATCTGGAGTAACCTGTATATATCTTTTATTCCAGGGAACACAAAGCCTTAACCCACACAATGACTACTGCCAACATTTTGTGGATACTGGTCATCGTCCCCAAAACTTCATTCGGGATGTAGGTAAGTTGAAGAAGTAAACAAAGTCTTTGATAAACATCTCTGAATACAACAGATGTTCTTATGGATGAGGTATATTGTGGGGAAACTACAAAGATAATCTTTGAATTTAAATTATGCTACCAGATTGCTATCAAAGAAAATTCTTCCAAAACATAACTGGAAAATAATCTGAAACATATTACAGTTCATCAAAATACTTCAGTGATTCTAAACTATCCCACCTGGTTTGAACATATGTGCCTAATCTGGATGAAACCTTTTATATCCAATTGTAATATGTTTGAGATGCTTGCATGAAAATCTGTTATTTTGTGTGCAGTAATGTTTCCCAATTTGTGACAAAAAAAGCTGTACTAGTTTGTCTATTTGTCAAACAAGCCAGCTGAGTGCTGTGGAAACGTAATGGGAAAATGAACAGGTCTGCAGCAGATTGTGATGGACAGGTTATCTCCATAGACCTCAGTGGAATGCTTGAATAATAAAATGACAGTAGTTGCAAACAGACTTCTGCATAGGACTCTGATTCACTCTTTATTTGGGATAGTGGATGCAGCACGAAACCATACAGAGCAGAACTTTGCATTTTAGATTCATAATCTGTACAGAATTCCCTTTCCTTGGTTAAGAAGGTAAAATCACACAGGGTTTCTGAAAGTTGTTCAGTCATCACTGCTTTTGTGTGGACATTGAATGAGATCTAACATTCACTATGGTGGCAGTCTACGGTTAGGATTATCAAAGAGTTATCTATTTTCAGATGGATGCCAGGGTCATTCAAGGAAATGAAAGAGGATGTATTTTTAGGAGGTTCATAAACATAGGAGGAATATTTGAGAACTGCAGGAAAGCAATAGTGTAGATGGCAGAAATTCTCACCTCTTTTTGAATAGTATCTTGGGATCTATACAACAACAGCAAGATTACATTTGTATAGCGTCTTTCATGTCGGGAGGAAGACCCAAGGTGCTGGACAGAGTACAGCATTTCAGATCTGAGCTGGGGTTGGGGGGGTAAGGGAGGGGAAGGGGGTGTCCAAGGCATGGTCGAAGAGGAGGGTCTTGAGGCTGGACTTGGAAGGAGGCTAAGGAGGGGTGAGGCGGAGTGACTGGGGGATGGAATTCCAGAGGTTGGCAGAGTGGCTGAAGACTCTCGCGCCAATGGTGGGGCGGGTGGGTTGGGGGACGTGGAGCAGACCAGAGGCGGCTGAGCGGAGGGAATGGGCGGGTTGGTAGGGGGTTAGGAGGTCACAGAGATAGGGTGGGGCGAGGCCATGGAGGGTTTTGTATGCGAGGACAAGGATTTTGAACTGGATCCTCTGAAGGATAGGGAACCAATGGAGTCGGGCGAGTGGGGGAGATGGGGTCACGGAGTTTGGTGCGGGAGAGGACACGGGCTGCAGAGTTCTGGATTATCTGCAGCCTGTAGAGGGAGGAGTTGGGAAGGCCGACAAGCAGGGTGTTTGCATAGTCGAGCCTGGAGGTGATGAAGGCATGAACAAGAGTTTCAGTGGCCTGAAGAGTGAGGTAGTGTCGGAGTCGGGCGATGTTATGGAGGTGAGGGAAGACAGAGCGGGTCATGGCTTGAATGTGGGGGAGAAAAGACAGTTGAGGGTCGAACAAGACACCGAGGTTCCTGACTGGCTTGGTGAGTTGTAGTGTGCAACCATGGAGGTTGATGCAGCCAGAGCCTGAGGTGCGGAGGCGCTGGCGTGAGCCAATCGGGAGGGCCTCAGTCTTCTTCACATTCAACTGTAGGAAATTTGCCCTCATCCAGGACTTGATGTCCGACAGGAAGTCTGTCTGTCAGGATAGCAGTGGTCCTGGAGTTGAGGGTGGAGGCAGAAAGATAGAGTTGGGTGTCAGCCACATGTGGAAGTTGACCCCATGTCTGCGGATGATGTCACCAAGGGGGAGCATGTAGATATTAAAGAGGAGAGGGCCAAGGACAGAGCCCTGGGGGACGCCAAACGTGACAGTGCGGGGGCTGGAGGAGAAACCGTTAGAGGCAACAAAGTGGAGATGGTGAGAGAGATAGGAATCGAACCAGGCAAGGGCAGGTCCGTGAAGACTGAGTAAAGCGGAGAGGCGGTGTATGAGGATGGAGTGGTCGACAGTGTCGAAGGCGGCAGAGAGGTCGAGGAGGACAAGGAGGCAGAGGGAGCCCTGATCACAGATGTTCAGAATGTCATTAGTGATGACGGATTGGAGGGGTTCAAAGGGGGAATGGTGAGCGAGAAAGGAGTGGAGCTGGAACGCGACGACTCGTTCCAGGACCTTGGAGAGGAATGGGAGGTTAGAGATGGGGCAGTAGCTGGAGAGGAGGGATGGATCCAGGGAAGGTTTTTTCAGGATGGGAGTGATGACAGCTGTTTTTAGGAAGGTGGAAACTGAACCGGTGAACAGGGAGAGGTTGATGACATCGGACAGGAAGGGGGCAAGAGGGTGGAGCTGGGAAACAAGGAGAGATGGGGATGGGATCGAGGGAGCAGGTGGTGGGTTTGAGTTTGCGGGCAGTCGTGATGAGGGAGGAGAGAGCGATAGGGTCAAAGGAGTATAGGGGGATGGGTGGGTGATGAGGGAGAGGTGCTGTGTTAACGGGGCTGAGGTGGCTGAACGTATCCCCTCAATTTTAGATTCGAAGAAGTCCAGCATTTCCTCACAGTTGGCATTTGAGGAGAGGATGGGCGAGGTATGGGAAAGTGGGCGGAGGAGACGGTTAGTGGTGGAAAAGAGAAGCCAGGGGTTGTCCTTTGCCTGATGGAGGATTTGGCGGAGGCAAGAGCGCAGCGATAGATCTATAGGACCTTTGACAGGTGATATCTTGGTTTAATGTCTTATCTAAAACACAGCAGCTGTTACATTGCAGCGCTTTCCTAATTTTGCAATTGACTCAGCCTCGACTACGAGCTCAAGTACAGACGTTCTTAAACCCTACAAGCTTCTGAAGTTGGCGCAAGAATATTACCAATTAAGTAAAGCGACACACAGGTCATATCTCACAAAGTTACCAGACAACTTAGAAAGATAACTAAACTGGTGCCTGAAAGCTATTCAGTGGATGTAATTTACATCTAAAAACATTTTGAAGAACACAAGGACTCATGGAAGTTATGACAAATTAGCTAGGTTGATTAAAAATTAGGTAGGTAATCATAATAGAAAAGACTTTTCTCAGGAACTAGAATGATGAGAGAAATTTAGTGTTATGTTCTCGGTTCCTTATTCATGATTCTCAGAAGTGATTTCAAGGAATGTAGTTGTAATATAGATTCTGAAATTTATTACTGTCAAACTGCATGACTGGATGTCATAAGGAAGAAAAACTCTTCAGAAAGATTTGTACAATTGAACAGATGATCCAATGAATGACAAATGGATTTAAATTTAGTTAAGTGTAAGATAAATAGTTAAGTGGATACTAAAGATTCAGCTTTGGGTGAAAATATTTGATATTGTACACTTTCAACCTGAAACCTTTCATATTTTTGCAGCTTCTGTTGTTAAATGGATAATGAAAATGTAAGGGAAGCTTCAAAAAGAAACCAATCCCATTATAGAAACAATGAATGTGAAGGTGTGTGTTTTATGTTTTTTCAGAACAACAATAGCCAGCTCTTTGCCAGCCCTGAAATGTACATTTAAACTTAAAATCACTTTTTGTTTACAGGCCTGGCAGACAGATTTGAAGAGTACCCAAAGCTGCGTGAATTGATTCGATTGAAAGATGATCTGATTTCACAAACTAACCCTCCTCCAATGTACGTAGTTCATTCTGGAGATTTCAAAGTTACATTTCTGGCTGACAGTACAAATGTATCCTGTGTCAGTGAGTGATTACAATAGGAAATACCATAAACTGCCGACATCAGGCTCTATGCATCGTATCGATCAGAATTTCAGCACATTCGACTGAGATTGCTCCTCAATCAATATATGTAAATATAGTTATGTTATCTATTGTATGTTATGGGTACTGTCCAAATGCATGTGTAACAATCTTATGGAAAGTAACAATCTTTTTAATGGCCAAGATTTTGTCAATGTATTGACAGCCAGCTAAAAACTGATTTGTAAATTTTTTTTAGCTGATAGACAAAAATGGGCATTTAGAAGACATTTTTAACTAGCATTAATTGATAGTATGTCCTCTCTTTAATTTTTTTAAAAAACTCAACAAATCTCTTAAATTTTTTTTTGAAATTTATTTCTAAAATGTAAATTTATTTAAAGAAACTAGTTCTTGATAACTCTTTGATCTCATTTCTAGTCTCTATGAATACCTCTGGTCTTCGATATTAACTTTATTCTTTTGTAACTAGGTATTTACAAGCAGACCTGGAGACATATGATGTTCGAGAGCTGAAATGTAAATTTGATGTTATTCTGGTGGAACCACCATTAGAAGAATACTACAGAGAAACTGGAGTAACAGCCAATGAGAAGTGCTGGACATGGGATGATGTGAGTTCATTATAGATTTGCTTTACTTGTTTTACTTCAGTAACCTACCTTTCTAAAACAAATCCATCATTATAAAAAAAATTGTCCTTTATCCTAAAGCACTATTAGAAACTTCTAGACCAATCTATAAGCAACAGTAAGATTGTGTTTTGTTTTTAACAAGGTTCTGAGTGAGTTGGTAATGGTCTCATCCCAAGGTCAGAAAGTTGGGTGTTCAAGTCATGCTCCATGTCAAAACTTAAGCTAGTGAATAGGAAGTTTAACGGAGGTCTCTTTTATAAATGCAAGTTGTCATTGTTATAAACGTGGTATGACATCTTGTTTGAATGATCCTTATTTAGATATGTTGATAAATTGCTAAATGGATCACAGCTTGTTATCGTAACATCTTTCAATCAATTAAAATATGATCAGTGCCAACTATATTTGGCTATTTTAGCTTGGTCAGGGTTTGGGAGGGAGATATAAAGAAGCAGCAAGCAGATGTTTTCGAAGTATGAGTCTTTCTCAATGTGGAGGATATCTTTTTTTGGGGTCAGCCAAAAACCAAGGTTTTATCCACATGGAGAGAGAAAGATTGATTCTCTCTCCAAGTCGAGGAAACTTCTGTTTGTTTGTAAGAACATAACAGAATAGAAATAAAATGAGATGGGGCTTCATAAAAAGCAAGCAACTGTTTAACTTTGTTAAAAAATTACAATTCTGCCCCATTTTCTTGAAATCTATTTCAGTGACCGTCCAACTCACCCAACTTTTAAAGCCTGCCTTGAGACTTATTTTTTTGACAGCAATTTTGGTTGTATTCTTGCCTCCTCACCCTCACCCATCCAGTTGTGTGCATGTATATAAATTGTAACTTTAAATCTATAAAGGAAGGTTGTTTTCAAATATGTTGCTTTAATCTTTATATTCATATCCTTGATCCTCTTCACCTATATCTGCTGTACAACCTTAATATATAGTTGCCCACAAGGTATTACAATGGTCTTCAAGGCAATGGCATTAGCATATTAAAATGTATGGTTGGATTAAGAATTCCTTTATCAAGATCCCACTGATATACAAGATCTAAAACTTTTATTTCCTTGTTTTTAAGCCACTTGTATATTTTACATACATGCATCTGTTAGTGATCAGATGGCAATTTGTACTTTTGCCAAATCTCATGTTCAAAAAGTAAACTTTAATAAGTGATTTATTTAAAACTCACTAGAGCAAAACCAAATTAGAGAATAAACCAATTCTATAAGATCAAAACCCCTTAGACAGAGGTAGTTCAAAAGGGAGTATCAACAGGAAGTGACCTAGTTTGAATTATGAGAAGAAAACACAGATGTGGCAATGCACTCTAATTGGCCATTTATATGCAATTATATATGCTAATTCAATGTGTTTTTTTATGCTGACTTAACAAAATTTGCAGTATGACTGCAGTTTTAGGATGGTCATATCCAGTGTTTTCACATCACCTTGGCTTCGTACAGGCTGTCCTATAACTGGAGCTGATTATAAGTAAATTTTAAATGTAACATTTTATTCATTATAACTATTCAGATAATGTTATTAGAGTTGGTTGCCCTGCTTGTTTAAACAATTAGCAGCACGATCAAATCATAATGCTTGTTAAACAATTAGCAGAATGATTCAAATCATTATAAAAGCTAACCATGGTACAAATCAATATTGGAAGTTTGAAAGACAAAGTAATTGAAAGAAGGTTAAGTTTATTTACCAAATTTCATGGAGTTCAGAAACAAATAAAGAACAAATGAACAAAATAAGCAGAGATGTAGATAGGTTCAGTTGTTGGGCTATTATTAACTAATGTTTATTATGGATACATGTAATGGGATGGTTTAGGAATAAAGAGTGGGAATATATGCTGAACAGTAGATACATGTAGCATATAAATATACCAACACTATTTTTTGCAGAATGTAAAGAATATTTAGAAAGTTGCCTAGGAAGGCATTGGGGTGCATCTTGTTGACCAGTTTAAGAGGCAATGCCAGGAGAGTGGGGAGATTGGGATTGAAAGAGTGAACAATAGTATTGATAAAATTAGATTGATGAAACGGACAAAAACTCCTTTCCACTTGAGTACATTATCTGAAAAACAGTAAAGAAATTTACTTTTTTTAAAAAAAGAATTGAGCCTTAACTATATTCCAGAAAGAATTGCAATATAATATGTAATTCAGAATAGTGAAGAATAGTTACAAATAATGTTTCTTGTTGCTGTGGTTAGCATATTGGTGTACTAGTAACTAATTGCCCGTGATGAATCTTAACTTGGAAGTGAACCACTTTTTCAACAATCTGTTTTTCTTCAGATCATGAAGCTGGAAGTTGAAGAAATTGCAGCTCCTAGATCATTTGTTTTCTTGTGGTGTGGCTCAGGGGATGGTCTTGACCTTGGCAGAGTGGTAAGATGTAATGCAGTGTGAAATGGACAAGGAAAGAGAGTGCACATTTACTCTATTCGTATGATAAGTTCTGTCTGATGTATCGCTGATTGATTATTTGTCATTGATGCGTTGTTAATCCTGAACTGAGTTCGCTGTTTACTCTTAATTATTTTGTCATTTATAATTTAGATTCAGATAACGGTACATTTTTATATGTGTGCGACCTGGTAGAAGCTGAACTACATTTTCAAATTTAGAAAAAATCTTTATGGTTTCTGTTGAACCATTTCAGATGCACACAATTTGATGTTGGTAAACTGCATTAATGTTGACAGTTGAACCAAAGCCTCCTGATTTTACAGGAATCCCAATGTGGCCTGCAAAAATAACATGCCATTGTTATCAATTCATACTATCCAAACATTCAATAGAAATTTCTACATTTTTAATCTCTAGACATAATAATTATTTACCACTCTTGTAGCTCCCCATCTTTACAGGTTTGCAAATTATTTTAAAATTGAGTTACTTTTTAAGATGGCATTATGAATTTAGTCCTGGTTTTAATAATATTTTGAGTATTCTTCCAGCATGCAGTAGTTTATGTGGAATTATTTTCAGGATTTTAAAACATTTTTTAAAATAAAATGAAGTTCCAACACTCTCCTATTGAGTGTCATAATTAAGTTCCTGCAATGACTATAAATTGTGCTAGACCACACTTAAAAGTTAAAATCTTTTAAAATGAAACTACTGTAGTTCTGATATCATTCTAACCCATAAAAAAAACCTTCAATAACCATACGTAGCATCAAGTATCTTAAATTATAGATTTTGTTTAGGTGTAATAGTTTGTGGCTTATTTGAATACAGTGCCTACGCAAGTGGGGATTCAGACGTTGTGAAGATATTTGCTGGATCAAAACTAATAAAAATAATCCTGGGAAAACCAAAACCCTGGATCCAAAGGCTGTCTTCCAGAGAACAAAGGCAAGTGGTCTGATCTAGGGACACAATTTCCAGTGAGCCTAGACTGTCATTGATTTTGCTCAGAATTCAAGCGATTGCACAAAAAGACACCTTTTTATTGTTAGATTGGATTACCCAGAGAATGCAGAATGGGCAATTAATTCTTATATTCTTTGGTCTGTGGTAAAATGGAAGCTCTATTCGCTTCTCTGATTACTTTAAGAAGTTCTTTTATAGCGTTGTGAATGGTGTTATTCACTCGGGCCACATTGAAATGCAGATTGGGAAGGATTGAAGAGGCTATGAATGTGACTTCACTTCATAGGATATTCGAAGTGCAGTAAAGCTTCTTATTGTTTTCTTTGCATTTACCTGTTTCTATAGCTCAGCAGCATTGTATTTGCCAGCTCTGCACCAAATAAAATCATCATAAGAGGGGCTGAAAATTAAACTATATTAAATTTCAAAAATATCTAATTTAATAATTTCACTATTTTTTCACAACAGTGTTATCAAACCATGTAGCTCTGTTCCTCTGCCTTTAGCCCTGAAATCTTACCAGCTTTTCCTCCTGTTGCCACACACATTGATGTTTTAAATTAGCTATTTATCAGTACCCCCAGACCCTGCTCCTGGATTGTGTCCTGTAACCACCTTCTATTTCAAGTATTTTCCCACTGCTTATTTCCCCCAACTGTCGCATAATTTTTAATTTGTCGACATTAAGCATCTGCTAATTTTACAAAATTATCAAGCATGAGTGATATTAAGGTTAAGTATGTTGCAAAAACTGCATGTTTAGTCGACAACATAAATATGGCATTTAACATCTCTAATTAAAAATCGAAAGTTGACCTTTTCGTAACATCAGAATTTGGTCTACAGATATCAAATAAAGTGCAGACAGCCCTGCAGAGCTAAATCATGCAATCTTGATTTGAGCTAATTCCATTTGAATGGTTGCCAAGTGAGGGATAAGTAGTTCCCCAAAGAGAGGAAAAAAATGAGTGTATTGCCCATTGCCACTCTTTCACAACTCATAACAGCCATCTCTTGTGGCATTGGCAGTGTTCTGCAAACAAATTTTCCGACAGCAGATATCAGTACTTTCTTTAATTAAACCTGCCAAAAGCAAAAAAAGAGAAAAAAGGAGGTGGGGAATGAGACTTATAGCAGTCAAATAGTAAAATGAGGCAGAAGTTTCTGAGAAAAGGCAGTCGAAATAATTAGTATCACAGATTTCTTACAAATGAAATATTAATTCCATAATGACTTAGTTGAACAGAATACACTACTTTCTGACTATTTTGATCTATATTTTTCAGGAACATTGCCTAATGGGTATCAAAGGGACAGTACGCAGAAGTACAGATGGTGATTTTATTCATGCAAATGTCGACATTGACCTTATTATTACAGAAGAGCCAGAGATTGGCAATCTTGAAAAACCAGTCGAAATATTTCACATCATTGAACATTTCTGTCTGGGACGAAGAAGATTACATCTCTTTGGAAGGGACAGCACAATAAGGCCTGGTGGGTGACGCATCTTTGTGAAAATACATTTTATTATTTGGTCTAGTCTGTTTATATAAAAGAATTGCTACTCCCTTAAACACACGCAGATTTGAGATTTACTAGAACAAAAGTGCTACACAGGCTCCCCTGATTGCCTATAGCCACTCTTTCACATCTCATACATTGTGTCATGTGATGTAAGCAGAACAGATCAGGAAGTATCTGCATTCAATCTTTGGTTTCCACTGAATTACCTGATCATTGCTAGTATCCCCCACTGCTCTCAAATTAGGGAAAGGAAGGAAATGTTATCAGTAATCGTCCTTGCTTTTGATATATGCTTTCATGTCAGGAGAACAACTCGAAGCCCTTCACGGGATATAATGTAAAGTGTAATGTCTATTTATAGGCCAATGCCTTATCATATCATTGAGACGTGTGAAAGCATATCACAGGATATACTACAAAGTGGTTCTGATTATATTTTGCAAAACGTGGCATACAGCAGTGTCCGCCAAACAGTCATGGAGTGAATGACCAATTTTATTTGGGGGATTTGTTGGCCAGGACACTGAGAAAAACCTCTTTTCAAATAGTGCCATGGGATATTTAACATCCACCAGAACAGGCAAAAGAGACCTCAATTTTAAAGTTTCACCTGAAGGCTCCAATTTGCACCTTTGCAACATAACATTGCATAACATAACATTGCAACATAACCCCAGTACTGCATTGAAATGTCATCTTAGACTATGTGATTCCAAGATCTGATGTGGGACTTAAACCCACAACCTTCTGACTCAGAGACGAGTGTGCTACCATTGAGCTTAGCTGACCCACAACTGCAATGAATTTACCACAGAATTTGAAAGAAAATGGGATTGGTATAGAGCAGTAGTGGCAACCCATCACCCTTGGGCCATAAGTGGCCCATGTGGCCATCAAGTGGCGTCCCGACCATTCGCATTAATCTAGATGAACCGTTTTTCTGTTTTGTTCCCAGTTTTTTTTAAAATTTGATTTATGGAATGATCAAGAAATATGCAATCAAAAAAGTATATTTTGTTGACCAACCAAAAAGGTTGGCCACCACTGGAATGGAGGTTCATCTTTAGCTGTAACCTAACAGGTGTATTGCCAGCTCTGTGGTTGACCATTTAATTTTATTGAGTATTTTGAAATGTAAAGGCACACAAAATATACAATCAATTCACTTTTACAGGATATTCTGCGAAGTGCTTTGAGACTTCTCAAAGATGTGATATGGTGCTATATCAAATGCAAGGATGATTATTATTAAATGAACACATTGTAATGAAGAATGCCACATTTTAAACAGGACACCAATGTATATTTTACACCATATTCTTTGAAGCGCTTTGAGACGTCTTGAAGATGTGATATGTCACTATATCAAATGCAAGGATTATTATTATTATAATGTATATTTTTTAATACATAAAACATTTTCCTAGCTAGAAATAATCTTTTTCTTCTCTTCACTATCAAAAGGAAAAGGGTGTTTTAACTATATTGTAGTATTCTTCATATGAAATTCCTTTAAAAAAAATAATAAATTGGTGAATTCAATCCACGACTGTTTGTGGGAAACCTCTATGCGCAATTGGCTGCTGCGTTTTGCCCACAAAATATACAGTCACTTTACAGAATATTCTGTGAAGCCCTTTTGAGACATCTCGAAGACGTGAAAAGGCGCTATATCAAATGCAAGGATTATTATTATTAAAGCAGTGAAATTGTTTTGAGCATAATCCAATGAATTTTGAGCTGTTTAAAATGAAACACTTTTCCTTAATTGTATTCCTCACACTAAAATGACTCCCCTGAGGCTGAAATGTCTTAATTGAACATTGATGGAAGTGCTGTGAGGTAAATTAGGCAGTTTTGCTTCTGGAGATACTAAGATGTAGTGGTTTTCAAAGCATCTCTGAAGGTAGAAATTATCATTTTGTTTGAACTAGTAACTTTGTCAGGACCAGTAGATTGAAGTGATTGCATTCGGTCACCCTCCTACCTCTGCCCTCCATCTCTCCTGATCCCAACCACCAGCTCGGGTACGGATCCTTAACTGTCCAGCGTCTTGGAACGTCTTCCTGATGTGAAAGGCGTAATACAAATGTCATTTGTTGTTATAGTTTGTCAAGACCAGTAGATTGAAGTGAATGCAGATTATCTAACAGTAGACTAGAATGTTATTTTTTTTTCCTGGTGCTTTAAGCAATTTACTCATATGTTCCCAATCTCAGCTTTATGGGAACATATTGAGCTGCTATTTTTTGCCACTGTTTGAATTTTTAATGTAATAGCAAGATGTGTGCTGTTTGTTCCTTTTGAGGTATATATTTAAGAATTTTTTTTCATTTAATAGTTAATATCAATATGTCTTCTGTGGGCAGGAAATTCAAGCTATTGGTGATCAAAGGTACTTACTAAATCTTTGTAAGAAATGATCAAACCTTTTTATCACTTTACAAGTTTAATGTGGTTTCCATTTAAAAAAATCAGCTTGGACACTACAAAGCAGTTAGTTTGCAGTGCTGCAAAAGGAAGACTTTATGGCTTTTTCTTTTATGCTCTATCTGTATTGCTGGAAAGGAAACAATCTCCTTTTGAGCAGCAGAGTGATGGGTGCAGGAAATCTGATTTATACTTCAGCTCTTCGTTATATTACTCCGGGGGCTAAGTTTTTTTTCACCAGATGTCGGAGTTTTGTGGCTGCATAAAGCTTCCCTAACCAGTATTTTCTATATTAATATAAAGCCAGTTGCAAGAATGACTTAATATCATTTTTTAAAAAAGTTATTTTAAAACGTTCTTGGGCGATCCATTGTAAATGACTTCTGCAACGTAGTCTTGGTAGCTGGATTCTAGCATGATTCTCTTTCAAATTAATCGTTCAATGCTGTGACAAATTGCCATGATGACCACCGTATAATTTGTGTGCAGTACTTCACCATCAAATTGTAAACAGCATTAAAGCTTAAATAACATGAGATATTTTACAAGGTTTCTTAATTTATTCAGCGAATAATGAACTATTAGTTAAAGGGAATATAGTATTTAGATTAAGACAGAGATTTTCAACTTAAATTCTGTTAATTTGATTCAACTGATCAACCTTGTTAAGGTTTTACGCTTCAGAAGGTGCAATATTCATGGTTTCTTATTGTAACTAATTACTATAATGATAGGTCAGCATTCCTCAGGGTAGCCTAAGTAGTGTTCTAAAATTGCAGACACATTTGGCTTTATAATATGGAACAAAAGGAAATTAAGTCCATTGAATTTGGAGACTGTCCCAGCCGTTCGGAGACTGATGGTAGTGCCAATTTGAAACTGATCCAAAGCCATTTATAGCCAGTCAAATGCTTGCCTGTATAAATTATAAAAATAAATTGAACATGGGACAGAAAATTGCTGAGCAAAATATTTATTAGTAAAGGAATTTTATACTCCCAAGGTTTATAATGTGGGTCATTGCTTTTAATTAGCATCATACTTGATTATTTATTGTTTTTAAAAACTTTAGTTCAAGACAGTACAATACACTGTTCTGTTTTATGCATTGTAATGTGTGATGCATTAAATACCAATTATTTGAACAATTTATGAAGGCGAATGTGGGATTGCAATTGAGGGCTGTAGACCAGTTGTTTTTGACCTTAAACTGTAATAATGTTGATCATTGCTGACCTCAAACATCACAAAAAATGTTCATCAGAGTTTATGAACTCATATACAGTAAACCCTTGTAACTGGTTTAGAAGTACATTGGAATCTAACACACAATATTCACAAACAGATTTGCAAATAGGGATTCCAGAAGTGCTGCACTTGACCTTGGGAAACTCCACTTTAATGAGGTCTTCCAAAATAGAGTGACATAAAAATTGCTGTTTGTATTTCTTTGTGAATATTGCATTTTAAATATAATAAGGCTTGCATTTGATGTAGAGTCTTACCACTTCATCGAAAAGTGGATGTACACTATTTGCTATTTTTCTTTAACAGGGAGCGTATCAATATATATATTTTAAAAAAAACTTTTTTCTCCTCCACACATAAGTATAAGTTAAGTTAGAATGCTTGTGGTAAATGTACAGTTTTATAGGCAATGACACTGACTAATGGTCCCTAGTATTACATTTTATTTGAAAAGGCTCTTAAAAGTGTAAGTACTCTGATCTGTGTTTTAGAATCTTCAGAATCTATTGTAGTTACCTATTGTACTCCAATACTTAATAATGCTGCATTGTCAGCGGTGCTGTCCTTCAGGTGAGATGATAAACTGAGGCCCAATCTAACTATTCAGATGGTCGTTAAAGATCTCCTGACACTATTCGAAAAGAGACTAGAATTCTGATTGCCATCGGCGGTCAAGCTTTGAGCCTTTTTGCACCCACTCTCTGGAACTCCAATTGTGCAAATTCTTCCACCTTGGCCCTTTCCTCACTTCCTTCACGGGCCTTCAGTCAACTTTCCACCTCCACCACCTTGGTCCCCACCTTTCCTGAATTTAACCATCAGCTCAACCCCTCAATTGTTCAGCAGCTTGTGATGTCCTCCCTATGTGAAAGGCATTATATAAATGCAATTTGTTGTCGTTGTAACCAGATTTAAATTTTGTCTTTGTTTCTTCAGTTTAATTTTGAACACATTGTTTCACTCTAAATTAATAGCCCTGAATTCTGATCCCTAATTTATCTTTGTTCTTTTTCTAGGTTGGCTCACTGTGGGCCCTGGACCTACAAACAGTAACTTTAATGCTGAAACTTATAACTCGTACTTTACTGGCCCAAACGTGCACCTGACTGGTTGTACAGAAGAGATTGAGAGACTTCGACCTAAGTCACCACCTCCAAAGTCAAAATCTGATCGAGGAGGTGGAGCAGCCAGAGGTGGTGGACGAGGTGGGGCTTCAGCAGGACGTGGTGAGAGGGGAAGAGAACGAAACCGAGGAAACTTCAGGGGAGAAAGGGGGGGATTTCGAGGGGGGCGTGGTGGAGCTCACAGAGGAGGATTTGCTTCTCGATGATGGTTCTCCAAAGTAGCTGAAAGTAAACTCAGTTGACATTGCATGACTGCTGAGCTTCAGTATCTGTCTGAATTATCAGCACTGCTCTACTTTTCTACTTTTTTAAAAAAAACAAGGAATAATTTCATTTATAGTGACAAAAGGCATTGTGTACAAAGGACAAAGTTGTGCACTCACATCATGAAAAGTGTTTTATGATGAATGAAGTGCAGTATAGTTGCGTTCAAATCAGTTATACTGTGTATTCACATTGTGTTCCATTTAAAACTGTTCAGAACACTTTAAAGCTGCAATATCTGATAACTCAATCCTGTAGTTTGTTTTAGGGTTAAGAATCTGAATAAAACGTGCTTAAAAAATATTTTGAAGACAATTATTTTTTCTCATTGGGTAGACATTTGATTGAACTGCGCAGTCTTTTGTATATTGAAGTGGGTTGATTAAAACCAATATTTTATTCCAGTTTTGCAAAACATGCAATATAAGTGAGATTTTCCATTTTAGCTCCAGTTAAAACCATCTTCAAACATTGCTTTTACTGCTGCTAAATATCTGAATATAAATGCTCATCCTTCAATACATAGGACGAAAAAGTATTAGAACCAACTCCTTTAAGTTTATTTCTTTAAACCACTTCTCTTTGGTTTAAAGAAATAAATACTTTCAGTTTCAAAATGCTGAGATCTCCCCGATGGAATAGAAAGTCTTCCCCTGTTTCACACCCAACAACAATAAATTCAATTTGTATAGCACCTTTCACGTCAAGAGAACATCCCAAGGAGACCCATTCAGGGTCAGGGATTTAATGTGAACTCCCTTTACATTTTCTCCTCTCCCCTACCCACCTACAAAAAATATTACACACAATCTCAATCTTGGAAGTGCCCCAACTGCAGCAATTTTGAATTTACATTTTATCCCTTTATCAACATTATGACATTTTGATTCCCTTGTTAATACTAATATTTTTATTCTATATAATTCTAGTGCAGAGCCACTGAATAAAGAAGCAGCTCCCACCCTATATTTTCCACATCTCGTCCAATCCTCAATTTCTCTTTTAAATTTCTCACACTTTTTGTTTTTCACGTGGAGTCCAGTAGCTCAGTGATTAGAGCACTCGCTTTGCAAGCGAGAGACCTGAGTTCAATTCCAGGCAGGGCGAACCTTGGGCAAGTTTCCTTACTCCACACAGAGCCTAATAATAATCCCTCCAAAACCAAAAACAATAATAATTTGGTCATTTTCAATCTACGACTGTTTGTGGGACATTGCTGTGTGCAATTGGCTGCCGCGTTCACCCACAAATATACAGTCAATTCGCTTTACAGTGTATTCTGTGAAGTGCTTTGGGACGTCCTCCCGACGTGAAAAGCGCTATATCAAATGCAAGGATTATCATTAAATCTCATCACATATTTTTCGTGCTATTCTACCATTTCCCAGGGTATTGCTCCAGGATGCTACTCTGCGTGAAGGACACTATATAAATGCAAGTTGTTATTGTTGTTCCCATTGCTCCATGTATCAAACTTCAGAATGTATGCATGTTGTTTAGCAAGGAATTGGAAGAGAAGAATGATCAGTGTGGGAGCAGTAGCAAGAAATATCTGGATGAATGCAACCCAAGTAAGAAACCCTTAGTCAATATAAATCATGAATAAATGTTTAAATCGTGGGTTAACAACAAAGGCAACAGGACACACATCTACTTTTGGTAGCGACCAATAGTTTTTAATACAGGAATCTTTACAAATTCTTTATTCGTTTCATTATGCCATGCAAACAAATTGCTGTTTGTTTCACAGGTACTGATTTTGTGGAATTAAGTTACTGTTCAAAAATTACACTACCAGTGTTTTTTTAGGAATGGATGTACTGTATTTAGATTGTTTTGCTAAAACTGTAGGGCTGGATTCCGGATATTTGCAGCTTTAAATATGTAGTTTGTAATGAACTCCAAATAATCAAAATTTACAAAATTGTTTTTACTGCACTGACATACAGTAAAAAAAAGTTCTGCTGCTTGTTTTGACAGAATTTGTGTTATTATTCACTGTGTTTTTTTCAAAACTGAATAAACTGCATTTTTAAATTATGAAACCTAATTCCTACTTGTATACTGGTTTTAAATACAACTGAGTCTCTGAGAACCCACAAGGCAATGCTGGCGTAGCGCTACTTTTTATTTCGATTCTATTGCTTCATTGAGTAGCTCTTGCTTTTGTACAGCAGTGAGGTAAAAGATCACTTGACTGATTAGGATGCGAATTCTCGGGAGACGAGATGGAGTTTTCGGAACGTGAACGACCTGGTGTCAGTATCACTAACACCAGGACACCACAGCTGATAGGAGAAAACATTGAAGAGGACAAGGAAGGATAGATACAATGAGACCCAATGGGCATTTTGTTTGTAACTTTCATTTAACCCTTTTGTTGTTGATACCATTAATCATACAAGGTTTCTGGGTCATGAGCTCCAATATACTGATTTTGAAGCTATTTTGTTAAAGACTCACTCCCCTTTTGATGTACCTCTGGCAATAATTCACAGTGAAAAGAAAAGGTGAAAAGTTCATTGTGAATGAACTCTCCAGGTGTTTTCCTCTGTAAAGTGTATTGGGTAGTGTCTTTACCACATTGGGAGAATTTAATATGATACCATAATACTCACAGTGAATAGAATACTTTATCCTTGTCTTCTAGATACACTCTAGTTGACAATTTAATGAAGGTGATGTCTCAGAGGGGACCTTATACAGAATGGAATTGGAAGAGTAAACTTGGAACAATATTTCAAGATGCACCAAGACAGTACAGGAGGACATAGATTTAGAGTTTCAAATGGCAATTTCAGAACAGACACCATGAAGCACTTCAAAGCACTTTCTTTACACAGAAAGTAATTAATGAATGGAACAGAACACCATGAAGGGCATTAGAAGCAAAGACACTGAAGTCTTTTTTTTTTAAAATAGACGTGCTGTGATGAGAGGATGGTAGGGTGTTATGCCGGAAGGATGAGCTCAAATGAATTGAAGGGCCTTCTTCAACTGAACCAATCTTGTGTGACATTAATGCCTCAGTGCCTTACTTGGTTTTATGTGAAAGTGTTAATTAGGTGATATAATAGAGGATCACTTATTTCACTCACTCCTAATCTTATGTTTGATACTTTTCATGTCTGGAGGAGATTTCAAAGCACTTTCTTCACAGGATGCACTGTAAAGTGTGACTATAATTTGTAACCAAACATATCAGTATACTTACCCATCAGTTGTTTTAAACCATGGTACCTGTATGATAATTGATAATCTACGATTCCTGTAGTTTCACCTTGTCTCATACAACAGCTTGCTTTTAGCTCCCTTTACGTAACGTTTTAGAGCTCATCACAAGGACAGTGTTGGATCCTGAGCAATGGACAAGGGGGATGTGACTATTTGCACAGGCAACAAGGAAAGGTTTTAAGTTCACTTAAAGATACATGGGAGTAAAAATAATATGCACTAAGTAAACACACCGACTGAGCATGTTGCCAGTCTCTAAGTCATTTTATTGAACTGTTTATAACATTTGGATCTTCAGTAGTGAATCACAGGGCATATCAATCACCAGCTTTATGTTGTAAGCAATGTCACAAGAGATTGATTCAGAGCAGGATTAATATTTCCTGCTCCTAATCACTCAAACTTGGGATTGAAAACTGCCAATATTTGATTAATCTGACCACACAATCAGCACTTTGGTAATAATAAAAAAATTCCCTACGAATTCTTGTGCAAATCATTTTTGAGCAGAGTTTAAAGAGCACTTTATGCCTTGATTTAGATTGCAATGAATCTATGTCCTGATAAAACCCATCTTCTCAAGGTGGGATTGGCAGCCAGGCTTCGGTATTAATCAAACACAAATTGTACTAAGTATTTTGTGGTTATTTGGCAAAAATTTGTTCCAAATCACTCTTAAAAACAAAGTATAAACCAGACAATAAGATCTTTGTCTATCACATTTCTGTAGTCTTTTATCAGAAAGATCTAGGGCAAGTATGCTCAGTATATATAAGCAATACCTTGCATAGTTATGTATTCATTGATGCTGATTTTTATTATTTATAACAAAAACAGAATCAAAGTGGAATGATTACTTGCAGCAAAGAAAACAAATTTATATTTGTATCCTGACACAACAAAGTGTCAGAGAAATGGTTCTGACACTCAAAGAACTACATAACGGTTTAACATTAATATTTGAGCTTGAAAATGCATGATCTGCAAACCAGACAATGTGTGATAGGGACTTTGCCTGTGAGAATGAAATTATGGGATTTGCCATAAAATTTGATGTTAAAGAATTGGGAACAGAAAATTCCGATGTCTAAGAAACTAAGATTTTGTTTCACAACCTATGTATGTTTCTAGGCCTTTTCTCATCTGAGAAAGATCCCAAAAGCAAAATGCTGGCTGCAACTATTACTTCCAGTTTGTGAATATCACAATTTCTACCCCATTGTCCAGGACGATTTCTCACATGTGTAAAAAGCACAGCAATGGCATTGTGTCAGGAAGCACAAGTGAACTGCAAGAGGGACCTTTTGTATATTTCCAGTTCAGTGGGACAAGAAACCATTTGTTAACCTTGACAAAGTGAAGGATAATCTTCTTTCACTTTTACGTTAGACAGACTCTTGGGCTGGGTTAGATTATACAAAGAAATGAACATGATTTGACTATAAATATTCCAGGCTTTATAGTGACATCTACAGCTGCCTTCAATCTGTCTGCTCAGCTTTGTAGGGATGTTTGAAAAGTAGAATGTATTATAGTGCTGTTATTCAATATTTATGAGCGTGTAAGGGTCAAGTGATAATCTCTGATTTATTACTTTTTTTTTACAATTGCTCCTATATACAAGTATCTTGTGTTAATTTTACCAGGTTGAAAACATCCATTCAGACTGAATGATTGTGGATTTTAGTTGAGATTTCCAGACATTTTGATCTTCTGAAAAATTAGGCGCAACTCCATCACAATTCCTAAATCCTCAAAGCAGCTTGAAATTGGTATAACTTTATCAGCTTGACCAACATGGATTTATTGGGGCATTCCATGAAAGCCATTGCCTCCCAGCTTCGCTCTTTCTTCTCACTCCCTCCATGAATCCCTCCAATCGGGTTTCCGTGCTCAGGTCTACCTTTCACACCGCCTCCACTTCATTGCGGCAAATGGCTTTTCCTCCAGCCCCCGCACCGTCTCATGCAGTGTTCCTCAGGGCTCTGTCCTAGGTCCCCTCCTCTTTACCCTCTACATGCTCCCCATTGGTGACATCATCCGCAGACATGGGGTAAATTTCCACATGTATGTGGATGACACCCAACTCTACCTCTCTGCCTCCACCCTGAACTCCAGGACAACTGGCATCCTGTCTGACATCAAGTCCTGGACGAGGGCCAATTTTGTTCAACTCAACGTCAGTAAGACTGAGGTCCTCAAGTCCTGGACAAAGGCCAACTTTTTCCAACTCAACGTCAGCAAGACTGAGGTCTTCCTGATCAGCCTCCACAACTGCACACTCAACCTCACTAAGCCAGTCAGGAACCTAGGTGTCTTGTTCGACCCTGAACTATCCTTTCTCCCCCACATCCACACCATGACCGGGACTGCCTATCACCACCTCCGCAACATTGCCAGACTCCGCCACTGCCTCACCCCTCAGGCCTGCCGAAACCCTCACTCACACATTCGTCACATCAAGGCTTGACTATGGGAACTCCCTCCTCATCAGCCTTCCTAACTCTTCCCTTCACAAGCTGCAGATCATCCAAAACTCTGCAGCTCGTGCACTCTCGCGCACCAGGCTCCGTGATCCCATCACTCCCACCCTCACCAGACTCCACTGGCTCCTCATCTCCCAGAGGATCGAGTTCAAGATCCTCATCCTCACCTTTAAGGCCATCCATGGCCTTGCCCCTTCCTACCTCTCTGACCTGTTGACTCCCTACCAACCTGCCCGCTCCCTCCGTTCAGCGGGCTCCGTATGTCTCCATGTCTCCCGCCCTACCTGCCCTACCATCGGTGGCCAGGCTTTCAGCCTCTCTGCCTGGGCAGGGAAGGGGAATTGCATTTTGATGCACTGTCCCATTAGTAAGGGAAATTTCATAATCCATTCAAGATTTTATAGAAAGTTTGCAGGTTGCAGGAGGTTATTCAGTCC